CTATAAGATATTTGCGACCTCTAATCTATTATCTTAAGGTCTTTAAGATCATTAAAGAATGGGCTTAATATGAATTCAAGAGATTCATACTTTCCCGGATATAAAGCAACAGTATGATGATAGTTGGGTTTATAGCAATTTTTTTGATTATTAAGAATTGTAAATATGATCATAACATGCTTGATTTTTCATTCAACATTTCGACCGTCACCAGAAACTCGCAAATGGATTATTGGATCATGAACAGATAATATATTTTCCTGCAATAAATGAGGAATTATATATTTAAGGATTCCTTTACAATCGCGTTGCCCACCTGTATCTATGGAATTCATAATGTTTTCAATTATATTGGAATCTAAATCATTAGGTTCATTATCTATATTATCAAGCTCTTCATCTATATTACCAGATTCTTCATCTATTATACTCGTTATTATTGTATTCATATTAACAAGTTTAATAGAAATGTCTTTAGCCATTCTTTGAGTTAAGTTGCTTTGTTTATTTGCAATAATATATGCACGTGGTAGGTTATGATATGTTGTAGCCAAATTTCGATAAGCATCTCAGAAAATATAACATGAATCTACTACTTTAACCGTATTTAAAATTTTAGCTCTTTTTTGTTCAGGATCGTCTCCAAAATTAAAAAAATAATTTTGGTTATTGACTGAATATTTGAATGATTTTAACTTGATGGAATCCTGAGCATTATATTTGAAACTTGTGCTTTAAATAAATTTCTTCTTTATTACTGTTGCAATATTTTTTGTACGTCTTTCAAGTATTCACTTTGAACATTGTTTAGCAGGTTTAACGATACATTTATTCTGAGATTCTCTAATTTTTTTAAGCAGTTGAAGTTGTAATCCAAAGAGAAGTGGCCCAGATAAAATACTTTTATTTGAATTATTTACAACCTACAAATGGAATTTTATTTAAATAACTATTAGAGATGAAAAAATAATATTTAAAAAATTATGATTACCTCATGCAAGACACTTATACGAAGAAAATCTTTAAATGAGATAATCACGTGATTTTTGAAAAAATTATCTTTAATACTGTACTATATTATACTCTGTTGTGACCTTACTAGCTGATTCGTTTGATTTAAATACATATTCAAAAGACAGACCAAATAAAATTTGAAATTCTGAATATCCACTTTTATATTCAATTTTAAATTGAACTGTTTGTTGATTTTTTTCACATCCCCAGGTAGTTTTTACAGAATAGTTATCAGGAATCGGATATTTTTTGGAAGGTAATGTATAACAAAGTACAGAAAATTTGGATAAAATCCTTCATTCTCTATAAAATAACTAAATGATCGTTATGTAATAATATTTTTTTTTCTTTATACATAATTACATGATTCTCATGATAATCTTCTGATTCAAAAGTTTCAATATCAAGATTGCGATTTAAATAGGTTGATATTATTATAGCGATTAAATTTTTAAAGATTTTAATTGAAATTCAAGATATTTTGGGCAATAAGTATAGTAATGTTGTTTATTGATTAGAATAAATTAGTTAAACTTCGAAGAATTTAATTATAAGAGCGAAGATATGAATTTTGCTATTTTTTTTTGTCTATAAACATTAAAAACTTTTAAATTTATATATATATCAGCTGGATTCAAAGCAGGGCTAAAATGAGATATATTAAATGCATCATATTAAGGGTAGGTATTTGTTTACCATTTGTTTATGCATGGCATAAAAATAAACCAATCAAAATTTAATGATCTGCAAAATTAACCAATTATAATTGTATATTTGGTTGTACATGCATATTTATTTGCACATTGCATGAAAAAAACATGTAAACAAATACCCTATCCTTAAAATTTCATCAATTGTTGAGATAATTAAATACTTATATATATCAAGAAAGATCCTTTAAACAAAAGGTAGTGGCACAGTAAATAGCCACTATTTACTATACTCTCGTGATTGCTAATTTGCTATTTTTGCTATTTTGCTAGCTATTTTTGCTAGCTATTTTGACTATTACTAGCTGGACACTCTGATATAATTACTCATTTACATAAATCAGTTCAAGAACAAAGGTAAAATTTTATGCATAAAGCAAAAGTAGCAAATTACGCATCTTAGCACAAGACAATTGTTGCTAGCTATTTTGCTAAAAAATAGCATGCTACAAAAACCTGAGGTCTCTTATTGTGTTTCTTTGTTACCTCATCATTATTAACAAAAAAAATTTGAATAAAAAACATTTGTCCAGAACTTTAGAACACTAACTATAGATAGATCAAAGGATTGATAAATAACGAAAAATTATTTATTTATAAATTGTAAATTCATTATATTAATACAAATATTTCTATATAAATATTGAAGATATGATTCAAAATTTATTTTTTATAACATTTTATAATTAAAAAATTAAAATGGTAGATAGCCAGATTGCATCTTCTAAACAATATCCTCTAAGATATACTCTTTTAGTTAATCTATCAATACCTTTTATTAACGAAATGCCACCTAGACATAGACTTCCATCTAAGAAAAAAAAAACAAATTAAGCAACCTATTTTTCAAAGAATGAATATAGAAAAAGCGGCAGTAGTAATATATCATCAAATACCAGAAGTAACCCAAACTAAACTCATAAATGATGAAAAAATAGTGCTTAAAAAGGGCGAAGCTTTTGTTGAAAAGAAACAAACTTCAGAGATAGCTGAAACTAAACAATGTGATACACAAATTGAAATACCTGCCGCGGTCAGAATCTGTTCTATAGAGAAAGTTGATTTTTAAGACAAGTGTTATAAGTGTATACTTAAAGAAATCTGTTCTACAAAGAAAGTTGATATACAAGACACGTGTTATAAGTGTATACTTGAGAAAAGATGTAAGAGAATTGGTATTCAAGACATGTATTACAAGTGCAGACTCAGAAAAAGAAAAATCAGTGAGAGCCAAGATACACCAATGGGTAAGAAAACATATGACAATACCTTAGAACACACAAAGTTGATTTTTCATTTTGATGGATTTTTTTTTTAATCTACAGTAAATTAATCGACTCATGTTCACATCTAAGGCCACGCAAAGTAAATTTTTCGCTTTGTATAACATGGAATTAGAAGATTGAGTTGGCAGTCAGATTTTTTTTCTACGGTCCTATTTGATAATTCCGGTAAAATAAGGTCTCTGTCGGGTGATATTGGATTTATGAAAAAAATTAAATGGCAAAAATAGAATAATTGGCACAATTGGGATTAAAAAAAAAATTTTTTTTGAAAATTTAAAAAAATAGGTTGGCAGGTAATGCAACATGAAAAATTAACTTTGCGTGACCTAATGTCAAAGTGTCCAACTATTTCTAGCATCTAAAATAGCACTAGCGATATCACGAAAACAACCAAATTAGATTTAATAAAATTTATTCTATAAGCATATCAAATTAAAAAGAACTAATCTGGTTATATAGTTATCTCAATATCGTTAGTGCTAGTTTAGATGCTAGAAATAGCTGGACACTCTGCTTTATGTAGAGTTTCCTGAATTTTTTGCCCTAGTTTGAGAAAATAATAAATATCATAAGAAAAAAAAATAAATTGATATAAGCATCTCTATTAATAATTTCAATCCGTTTTAAATTACCTTCAAATTCCCTTAAGATATCAGTGATTAATAATTGAACCCGCCTAAGAACTCATAACCCATGTGAACAATTTGCATTGCTACTTATTTCAATATAACATCGCTTTATATTTGTCCTTTTCAACCTAATTCATTAGGGTGTAATTTCCACCATCATAACTATCAGTGGATTTATAATATAAAAAAAAAAAGCGTTATATTCATTTTTTTTGACTTTAATTCCACTTTAATAACAATAACTAACCTTTACCGGTTTCTGATAATTTATATATAATTCATCATTTTCTACTCCAGTTCTATTTGATAACAATGATTTATATCCTCTACTAGTGCTTTCCGTCTCAACAGATCTTTAATAATAAATTATTATGTTTATTCTTTTCAACAATATGCTCTTTTTTGTCTTGTAATATCTAAAAAACATAAAATATAAAACAAAAAAATAAGTTACAATATATACAACAAACCGAAAGATTGAGTTTTATTATATATAAAGGTCGAGGTTTACACCTTTTTTTCTCAAAAGTACGTAGGTATATTTTGTGTAACGTTACTTAAATCAGCGCCAAGCGTAATGTCAAACGACCTGACCCACTATAAAAATTTTAGGGCATGGGGTTCTCTCTTCTGCATAGTGTCGCATATTGGCCCATATGTTTAGAACGATTATAAGATCCTTTTTGCAATACAACAATTATCGTCCTTTTTATATAATACAAATATATGCTAATTATGCTATTCCTATTAATTACCTAAATATGCAGTATATGCTAGATTGTTGTTTCTACTCGATATATGTACGTACTAAATATACCTGATCTTTTAAATCTAACTGATATGCTAACTATACTACGCTAATTTTACCAAATATGCAATCAATTGTTATGCATAAACGATCATTTTCTCGACAAAAATTGACTGGAACTAACACTAACCCTAACCTAATGCAGGCTAACTTGTCGGGATTTTGACATTGTCGGGAAAGTGGTTGTCGGGAAAATGATAGGATCCGTAAACGATCACTTTCTTTTCCGTAAAATTATCATCTGGGCAGCTTTACTTAGTACGTGGGCTACAATTTTATTAGTAAAATTTAGGGTGATTTTGGGAGAAATTGATCAATTCCGGCCGATTCCGACTCTAAATTTTGGTCGATCTGCTGAATTTTAGTTGCTCCACTAATCAATCCTCAAACCTAGATTAGTGATGCCAAAAATATCATTTCGTGTAACCCGAGCTTCAGGAATTCGATTCGACGATTCAGTTTCGGACCTCGGATCGTACCTCGAAGCACTAAGCCTAATTTAAGTGAAGTTAACTAATATTATATGATCTGAGCAACTTTATTTAGTATAACGATAAAATTTGGTGATTTTCGGATATAATTCATTAAGTTCGGAAGCTCGGGTTATAAGACATCACTAACCTACTACGTACTGTATCTTATTTATTTTTTTTACGTATTAACTGCAGCTTTAATTCAAATTATATTAAGAGAATTAATTAGTTGTTTTATTTGATGATTTTTGATTCTATTTATTCTACATCTATTTTTTATTTGGTTAATTTTTTTCTCTTTTATTTTATTTGATTTAAAATTGCGCGTAATTTCGTTTGATGTGCCAATGCCAAAAGCACTGTATAAATGACCTATCATTATATAGTGTTTAATAAATTTGATTAGTCAAATAAATAATCCCGTGTTTTTGTATCAATTTGATTTGTAAAAAAATTTATATGTAGATAATAAATCAACGATTGGTGTAGATAATCAATCAACGTCAACGATTAGTTTTTAACGATTTGGATCACTAATACTCTAACCGTTTATATACAATAGCCCAGTAATTCATTTTTTTTAAAAAAAAAATCAGAAACACGCAAGAATCGCGTGTTTTTACTATTGCCACAATGTTTGGTTATGAAATTTATAGAATCATTGCCTTCCCAAAGCACGTAGTTTCATAATAAAAAGACGCCACATCGGTTAAATACTAAACAGCCTTTTCGCAAGACTCCCTGGAAAAGATTTCGAACAAAAACTTTGAAAACATCTACCGTGTATGTAGTTATGTTAAAAAATTGACATTTCGCCAATAGCGATTAATTTCGTTGTTACTGATCTTATTAATTAAGAACCAGACTAGAATCAAAAGAGGTCACCCATTGTACTTTAATTTGGCTATAATAATTGAAATGCAAACTGTACTCGTACCGAGTGGTGGCTACGGATAGTGTTACAAATCGGCAAAATTTTTTCAATCGATTACATAGTTGGTTAATTATTTTTCCAGTTGGTTGCAACTAATCGATTAATCGATGAGTTGCAACTAATCGATAAATAATTTTTCGGTCGATTCATTTGCAACAATCGATTAATTCTTTAGTCGATTAATCGATTAATCAATTAGTTGGTGTCTAAAAAGTTCAAGCGATTAGTTGTCAACTAACCAACTAATCGATTTTTTCAACTTTCGATTTGTAACACTACTTCAGGTATCTTAACGGAATAAGAATCAATATGTTTATAATTAAAAACAAACAAAACTTGAATTCTTTAGCTTCTTTAGTGTTAAAATATTTTGATACGGATTCAAAATTGAAACATGTTTTGTGGTAGATAGATTGATAGTTTTATTCGTAATTGTTTCCGAATGTGTCTTGATGACTTGTGATTACTCCATGAAACCTGATCAAAAATCATAACGATAATAAAATAAATGTTTGTAAAGAATCCTTTAAGGGGTAAAGCGCGGTTAAAGGGTATAAAAACAGCAAATTTAATAGTAGAAATTGTCGGAAGTTAATATAGTTTTCTATAGGAATACAGCTAGCTTTCAATGAAAAGTTTTTTTATGCCCATTAAACATTCCTTGAGTTTCTAACAAATACTGTACAGAAGCTATTCCGGTTTTAATAATGGTAGAATTATTAAACTTTGGTTTAGTAGATCGCGAGTTATTGGTATTTTTACTTCATGACTATATGATTTTTACATATTTCCAGAACCTTTTGGCATTCCAACATTATATGAAAGTAATAGCAATTTTCCGCCGATTTTTACTATGAAATTTATACCCTTTAATTGCGATCTACCACTTAATTTTTTTAAAAATACTTAAATTTCAATAGTATATTTATCAGTATGATAGAGTTGTAATATATCATTAATGATAATCGGAATAATCGAATTCCATTGTTTATTATTAATTATTCACAACCTGATTAATTGTTTAAAATCCTATTGTTTTGCCAATAAAAATAATTTTCAAAGATAAATAATTAACTATTCATATGTACTTTTTAATTTCATACCTAGTTTCTTGAAATAGTGCACCAAGTATTTCGAGAATTAGTTCATTAGAAAGTTCTTGCGTCATTTCTTTAGAAAATGAGTTTTTTTTTTTTTTTTTTTTTGCTGTAGCGGAAGAATAACTTGATTAAAATATATAATAATATATATATATATATATTAATAATGAAGCCTCGCGAAGCCACGCAAATTTTTTTCGTAAGAGTTTGCGTGATCGTCAAAAACTGGTAATGTTGCGCAAATGGTAAGTACAGGTTCATCGAACAACTTTTGAAATTCTTGATATCTTGTTCTGTGAGACCAAGATTATCCAAAAAACTAGGTATTAAAGTTTGAATTTTCAGAAAGCATAAAATGTATCAGTTATAGATTAAAACAAAACAATTATCATATCGGCAATCTTTTCAGTGACGCACCTCATTAGACATATGAAATTACATATAGTTGACGCACTTTAACCCGGGGAGATTGGTTTTCTTCAAAATCAGCCGATATGTTCAGCTATTAAGTATCGGAAAAACGCATACTTTTTTATAATACCAACATTTAGTCGCATAAGTTCGACAAAGTGATTAATGCTAATTTGAGGAAACTTATGGCGCCAAGCAGCTTTAACATTATATACTCTAGTGGTAGTGGTTATCATTCTTTGTAGACAGTTTGAAATCTCAATAACTTTTGTAAAGATATATGTATGCAGTGTCTTGTGATAATTAGTAATATCACCTCGCAAAAGTTTATCTTCTCGTTGATTGTACCCATTATACCATATCTATTTGATTAGTCATAAATTTTCTTTCGGGATTTTCTTCGTCATCAAGCCGTTCATTCCATATTCCATATACTTTTTTCAGTAAATAATCAAATAAATATAACCACTTACAAATCATGTTTAAAAATCTTATTGTACATGCTGCATGTATAAATTGAGATTGGTAGTCGTATGAGGTTGGAAGATAGAATGAAATCCTTCTTGGTCATATATGTAGTATAGATGTTATGCGTCGTTGATTGATTCCTGTCATTCAATGAATGACATGTAATTTTTGCGATTCCAAGAATAACGTATGTTATACTTTGAAATTGATATCGATATGAATTTTGCCAATTTAAACGTTAAAGCATTTCTTTAAAAATATATATATTCGCATTTAGAATGAAACATCATTGTTATATAAATATTAAAACATTCCTTTAAAAAATATATGTATCGCATTTAGAATGAAATAGCATCTAAATATAATACAATTATACGAAAAATTAAAGCAATTTTTTTTTTAAAAAAAAAAAATTTAACACAACTAGCTATTGTTATCTATTTTTGCATTGGCCATGCAAAACACAGCCACACCTCCTTGAACATTTTAAATTATTTTTTCGGCAAGTGCATGTTTTTGTTTCACAATTAGTTTTTCGGCAGTGACAGCTAATAGTTTTTTTGGATTTAATTTTTTGTACGGAAATATTATGATTTGAATCATCACTAAAAAAAATTCTATTAATATTATTAAACAAAAAAATTAAATTTAATATCAATAGCAAAAATATATTCTTACTCTAATAAGTTATCCGAATTTTCATTAAATTCTTGATTAACTTGTCTTGAGCTTGAAGATTGAGTTGCGGGTGTATAATTTTGTTTGATACTTGCTTGTCTTAATGAAATTGTTTTATTTAATGAAACAACATCAAGATCAGGATAGTCAGGTGTGCCTAATGGTTCAAGTTCACTTGCAGGATACCAGTTGTCAAGTATACCAAATTTGCAAGCAACTTGATAAGAATCTTGATTAGGTTTTTTGAATAATTTTACAAGGTAATGATCTTCTATTTATTTTTGTTTTATCAATATTAGGAACACGAATTTTTACAAATTCACTAGGCTCAAATACCTGATTTCATTTGGTTCTGTATTTTATTTCTATTGTATTTCTAATAATGTCACGATTTTTTTTAACATTTGAAATAGCAGCTTGACGGATTTTATTATGTTGCTCAAATGTAGGATGAGTTGAATTTGAAATTGTTTGTTGTGGTTCTATAGTAGTTTCCCGCCATTTTTCTTTTTCTTGAGCTGTATAACGATAAGGTTAACTTTCTGAATCACTACTAATTATAATAGTTTCTTGTAAATTAATTATATTATCAAGTGAATCCACTAAATCATTATTATTCCAATCATCTAAATCATAATCATTATTATTGAATATAATAGGATCTTCTAAATTAAGTCTATATTCAAAGTCATCTGCAAAAGAATTATTTGGATTACGATTATATAATAATGATTCAGTTTGATTATATAATTTATCCTGATTATAGTAATCATTTAAAATAGACAAATAATCGTATGACTCATTATTGTTATTAAATAATTCTTCCTATTCATAGTTGTCATTTATTAAAATATAGCTAATCTAGTTTCACTATGAGGTAATTGTCCAAATACTAGATTGTAAGGTGTAGTTTTGTGCGCAAAACAGTATTAATTGTTCATCATCCCTATAAAATTACAATAAATATAAAATAATAAATTATTAAAATAAAAAAGTTAATTAGGGGTTTTAAAATTAATAAATAAATAGTATATTCAAAAATAAGTAAAATTTTTCAATAACATTTTTACTATATTAAATTATAAATGAAAAATAAAATAAGATTCTTTAATTTTAATTTTAAAACCCCTATTATAATAAATTTTTAGATTTCATATATCAATTTATTTAAAAAAATATGCAAACTATATAATAAAAAATTAATGCTAACAATAATAATAAATTTATTATAAATTAAATATTGATACTAAAAAATGCTTACAAATTATAAATTTCAAGCCAACACTCCAATCATCTCTAGATGTTTCTTCTATCCAACATCCTAACTTTGTTTAGAGAATATTGTTTCCCTTCTCAACAAGACCTTGACATTAAGGATTTCTAGACCTACCATAAACTAATTTAATGTTTGGCCAAAGGCTCATTGTTTCCTTAAATATGCTTCTAATAAATTCGCCTCCATTATCTGTATGAAGAATTGCAGGTAGACTATATATTAAGCAAAAATTAAATAATATTATAGAAGCTTCTTTAGCCAATTTAGATTCTGCTGATTCTGCATATGAAAAACAGGTAAAATGATCTCTTATATGGAATATGTATTTAAATTTTCCATCAGATATTGCTATCATTTCAATTGTATCAAGCTATAAATAATATAATATTTATTAATTATTATTTAATAGCTAAATTATTATTAACATTATGTATTGAGATTTATATATGTATCTGAATATGATTCAAAAAACCTTCAGAAACAATTGGTCGAATTGGTGGAACCCTTTTAGTTGCTCGTCGAGTAACACATACTCTACATTCACGAATTGCATCTTCAACTATTTGTTGTGGAATATAGCAATATCTAACCCGGATCTTAAAAATATATAAATATAATTTTTATATAATTGCTTAAATTTAATTAAATAAAAATAGATACTTTTTTCCAAGTTTTTTCTTGACCTCCATGTTCTGTTGCCTGATGTGCAGCACAGATCACTTCATAAAAATTCTCAATTGGACAAACTTGTGTTCCCAAATTATTTTCATCCCGTTTAAGTAAATAAAGCTCTTCTGTCATACCGATACGAAGTATCTTAAAAGTATTAGTAATCCAGTATTTAAGTTTCGAATCGTGCTATAGATTTAGATTTTTTAATATATTTAAACATTCATTATAGTGATTAATGTCTATTAAGCTTTAATTAATTTTTTTTTGGCTAGTATGTTTTTCTAATATTCTATCAAAAGATTCATAAAATAGAAAACTATATGATTGTGGCTCTATAATTTTAATAAAAAAAAAAATAATAATTTATGAAAATAAAATATTGTTTAACAAATTTCAATTATTATTTTATTTAATTTTTACTGATACTGATTATTAATTTTTTTACTGATGCATAGTTAAACATTCGTTGCATTATTAAAGATTTAATAAGTTCGATAACCATTCCAGCAATAACTCGGATTATTAATGGACCGATAAATAATATATGTCAATTACTAAATGACAAAATCGACCATCGATGCATAATATATATAGGCTAGGAGCTAG